TTCTTTTTATTCTTGTACCTTTGCAGGTTGGTGGGGGTAGAAAGAAAGCATTTTGAGAACAAAGGAATGTATTCAAATTCACAGGGAGCATTCCAGTTAAGCATTTTTCTTTTAACAGAAAAGACACTTAAACTGTGCATTTGTTTTACAAGACCCATTCTAACTCTTGAAACCAAAATTGATTTTTGGTCCTGAAAGTTCTATGTTTGGGTGAGGTATGTTGACTTCCCTTAAGTACCTCCTGCTTTCTATACCTCTGTGTTATAGCTCTATGTCTCAGGATTAGTGAGGTGATGGACAGGAGTAATGATGATGGTGACAAGGTTTTGACAATGGTGTATGTCACACCCTGTTCCAGAAACTAAAGGTGCCCTAGCTCTTTTCAGGTTGAGGACATTAAAGCACAGCAACGCAGGTACTTAGTACATTTGGCTGTGTCTTTGAAGCCTTCTATGTCTCTTAAGAACGTATGTGTCCTAACTCTAAATCGTTGACTGTTTGCATATTGACTTATCAGCCTTTGTAAACTGTGAAACTCTACATATGATGAAATGATGTATTAACAACTGCAATGATCCCAACTTGACAACGTCACTAGCTGCATTTAAATCACAGTCTGTGTTCTGTCTCCCTTTGTCTAAGACAGCAAGCTTAAGTCTAATTCTCAGTGGACAAGGAGCTTATATGGTACAGCTGGGATTGGTCTGGGACTTTCTCTCTTAACCTCACCCCACCCTGCACACTGCCTGCACTAGTTCCCCTCAGCTGTTGTCTCAGGACTAGTCTGTTTTCTTGTTTGTTTGTGTGTATGTGTATGTGGTTCTTTTGGTTGTATGTATTCAAACACTTGTGTAAGTAGGAAACGGGTTCTCCCAAATAATGTGGTGCACCTATGCCAACCACTTTGTCTTTGGCACAGGACAGCGAGTATGCACAGCACCTAGCACCTCTCACTTGTCTAGCTCTCTAGTCCTTCACCTGCTCCTTCTGGAGGCAGATGGTGGGGCCCTAACAGCTGTTCAGCAAGGTGAGGGTGGGCACAGAGAGGTGAGGCCCACCTGGTGAGAGTCATGCGGTGCCTAAGTTCACATGATATATGACAGTAAGATCTGGGCACTTTTGGCCATTAAGTTGGCTTTCTCTAGTGGACTGAGGAAGAGGGCTGGTGTGTATGAAAACCAAATGGATCCCTTACTTGTTTTACTTCCCTTTGTTTTTCACATCAGGGAAGGATTATAGACTTAAGGTAAAGGAAACTTGGATTCAGCCACCCTGCCCTAAGACTCCTTTAGGTACTGTTACTTTCCTAATGCTGCCCCCAAAAGTACCATAGGTGTGTGGCCTGTGTAACATAATGTGCATTTCTACAGTTCTGGAGGCTAAATGTCCAAGAAGACAGAATGCCTTCCAAGGCTGCTGTTTCTGCCCTTTAAATGAATTCCTTGGTGGCTTCACAAGGTCCACCTCCGGGACCTAATCTCAGTTTGGATTAGAGTCTACCAGCACACAGACACGTTCTGAGGCCATGAAAATGAACACTTCAGCATAGGGAGTTAAGAGAGGGTCTTGGTGGAGTGCATAATGAAGCTCACAGTAGGTGTCATCTGAGAGAGAGCACACCTACCTTTCCCAGAGTTCGATGCTTCCCTGGGGAACATGTGAGTAGCACTTCGGTTGAGCCACAGAGTTAGGGATAAATTTGGACAAAGCATACTTTGTTCTGATTCCTGAAATCATTGTATTTGGGCTTTTGTAAGAGCACTGACTAGAACCCAGGCTGTTTCCCCCTCACCTTTGAATATTCAGTGGTCAGCAGTGGTATGTGTCAGGAAGTCACTGCTGAATTGAATATGTGATTTGTCTGCCTCCAGACATTGCCATAATTTCATTCACCCCAAAAGGAAATGAATTTGTTTTTCCAGTAGTTATCTATGGAGATTGAAGGCATATTTTGTTGCCTTGGGTAGTTTGAACTGAACTTCTCGGATTTCTTCTACTAGAATTTGTGTGTGTGTGTGTGTGTGTGTGTGTGTGTGTGTGTGTTACTTTTATTAAACAAAGGATATAATTACCTCCACTTCTGAACTTGAATTCTGACTAAGCTTCAGCCCTGGTTATTCTTTAGGGAAACCTGAGAATAATTTCCTTAGGTAGAGTTCACAATTGAATTTGATAAGTAAAGTGTGCTATTATTTGCTATAAAACAGCAGTAGGCAAATTCTCATTATGTTTCTTTTATATACTTAGTTTAGAATTAATACTTCTTTTTTGAAGGATAAAAGACAGGCCTGGTTTGGATAAGAACATGTTTATGAAAGTGTCTTATTATGTATGTACATGTAAATATCTTTCACAAATACCACAGAATAACTCAGGATAATTAGAACAGGGCTTTGGGCACTTTTTATATGCACATCAATTTGCAGCTTCATAAGCCTGCTTAATTTTCTGCCTTGGAACCTCCTGTGTATGTATATAAAGATAATTGACTCTTCAAAGTATATTTATTTTACTATTATTATTTCTTAAAGATTTCTGTATTTATTATGTATACAGCATTCTGCCTGCAGGTCAGAAGAGGGCACTAGATCTCATTACAGATGGCTGTGAGCCACCATGTGGTTGCTGGGAATTGAACTTGGGACCTCTGGAAGAGCAGCAAGGCCTCTTAAACTCTGAGCCATCTCTCCAGCCTCTTACTTTATTAATTTTTAGGAACAATTTTTTTAAGGACAAATGTTCTTATAAAAGTAGTGAGAAGACAGTTTTTCAGCCCTGTGTGTCATTTAGTTTTTTGACAGACGTTAGAAAAAATATGTTTAGAGCAAGCCAGAAATTATAAAATGCTGAGAATAAATTATTTTCATTACAATCATTGCCCTGGAAAGTGGCCTCTGTATGCTTTACTACATCAGGGAAGTCTATGTGGCTGGCCCTGGAGGACATGTGGAGCTGTTGGGAAGTTCTTTGCTTCTTTGAACTTTGGGGATTTAAGTGAATATCTTATGAATATGGAATACCTGGAATACGCCTTCCCCTTTTCCTAATAGCTAGTGGAAGGTAGAGAAGGATGGAGAACCCTGGGGTAGCCATTTTTGTATCACTGGTAGGAAACACCCACAACATTGGTACTGCAGTTGTAGGAAGTATGATCTAGACAAGTGTGTTTGTGCTCTGTGTTTTAGATAGAGGATGAGATCGTGTTGGCTTGTGCCTGCAATTTCCAGGGTCTTGCCTTAAATACTGCTGCACATGGACTTGTAAATACCAGCTGCATGCTCAGAAGTAGCTTGATATGAGTAGCTGCCAACCCCAGAAAGTACTTAACTTTATTCAGAACCATAAGGAAAGCAAAGGCTGCCCTGAGTTCCAGTAGAGAATTATTTAGAGCCTCAATTTCAGTGAATGAATGTTGAGTTTAATGAAATATTGGTACAGTAGACATTGTCATGTTAATTTATGTTCATACATGTGTGCCTGTGTGTGTTTATGTGCACCATATTGGTGCAGGTGCCCACAGGTTCCAAAGACAGCATGTAATGCCTACAGGGCTGGACTCTTGTGAGCCACCATGAAGCACTAGGTAGTAAACCTGGGACCTCTGGAAAGCAGCAAGTGCCCTTAACCACCCAGCCATCTCTCCAGCCTCCTGTTTGCTTAACATAAACACTGGCTTGTTGCTGATAATTCAAGTCAGAATTACTTCATACACTAAATTGTAGACTAAACACTTAGACACTTGCCAGTTTTACTTTAGCAATACGTGTTGTTGTTTTGTTTTTCATGAAGCTAAGCATAAGGTATGTTTTTGTTGTTAGACACAATTAAATTATTTTGTCGTGTTATCAACCTCCAGAGATGCAATACAAAAATCCATTTCGATATACAGATTCAATTTCAAGCATTAAAAAGAAAAAGAAACCAAAAGTAAAGCCTGTCAGAGTGTGCATCTCATTTTCTCAAGTAATTGGTTTGACCAAGTGTTGGTGAGTCTGGTCTGGGATTCCCAGTTTAACAGTGTGTGTGAGTGTATGTGCTCTTGTATATTTTGTTTTCTTTAATTTGACCAAAGTCAGGTCCCTTTCTTTATAGCTGAGCCATAGCCTCAGCTCTCGGAGTTTCTTGTCTTCTCCCTCAAAGACCCCATCCTAGAGTTAATTCCATCTGCTGTTTCAGCCCTGCAGGTCTCTGGAGCCCCTGGAGCCTTCTTTAACTATCATTTCATGCTTTCACTCCCTGTGGCACCTCATAGCTTTGCTTTGTCATTGTGGTGTCTGCCTTATGGGCTATGCACATCCTTTCTTGTGTTGTATCAAGACTGGTGTTAAAACAGTAGCACGGCACTGGCCAGGTAGGCACTAACTGTCACAGTGTTCTTCCCTGGTTGCCTTCCTAGAGATGACAGGTTGCCTAGGCTAGGTTGTCCTGCCTGGTGTCGTCTGCCAGAGTTCCTGGTGAAATCAGGGCAGCTGTGTACACATTTGACCATCCTGACTTGAAATTGCTATTGGTCAGAGTCCCTTCATTTTTTCCCTCAACCCTAGTCCAGGTGAATGGTATTTTAGCGTACTTCCATGGCTCTTGTCATCGGTGTCCCCGTGTTTACTAATATCCTTGGACTTGTGTGGACTAAAGCAGAAATAGAGTAGATGTTCTCATATCAGTCTGGAAGCCCAGCCCTGGAAACATTCTTACGTGGCCCATGGAGCCTCTTCCTGAAAAACCAAAAAATATACATATATTTATTCCTAATATTAGTTTAAACATACATTCAATTTACTTATCCAGTAAAATTATTATGATCATGAATCTCATATGATTAACCCCAGATTTACTAGCAAGATAATGGTCTTTCTAAAATGTTGGAGTTGGAATCATTTCAATTAATGGGGAAGTGACTAATTCCTTTGTGTAATTAACAGGGAAGTTGATACTTTCGTATCCATGGGTGTGCTTGTTAATAGCATATGTTATATCCAGTCCTTTTGTTTTTTTCTTAGGTGATTGAAGACAGTACTGGAGTCCGCCGGGTGGTGGTCACGCCCCAGTCTCCTGAGTGTTACCCACCAAGCTATCCCTCAGCCATGTCTCCAACCCATCACCTGCCCCCTTATCTGACTCACCACCCACACTTCATTCAGAACTCGCACACCGCTTATTACCCACCTGTCACCGTGCCTGGAGATATGCCACCGCAGTTTTTCCCTCAGCATCATCTTCCCCCCACAATATATAGTGAGCAAGGTGAGTCTGTTGCAGCTGGCTTCAAGGTTTGTTGAAAATGGCTATACTCCAAGAACTTGTGAGGCCTCCACGCTTTGTCTCCTATGCAATAAACAAGGTAGAAAGAGATGAAACTCACGGGCTGCACCAAGCTTCCTGCCTTGGCTTCTGCCTCAAATGAGTCCTTTGACTTGGTTGGTCACAGCTCTTTCTTGCTTCCACCCCACCAAGAGCAAGGAGTAGGATAGCTCATCTTTATTTTGGAAGTGAGGCAGCCAGCCATCTGTTCTGTGTCCTCTGCCTGTTGATATATGTTTATGCAGTAGTAGCCTCAGGCAGAGCTGGGCCCCATTATTTCTTTGGCATCATCATGGTCTGCCAGGAGAAGGGAAATTAAAAGATTCGTGCCCTACTTCAAATGTTAGAAGATTATGAAGTCTCAATATCCTTTGGGTTTTCTGAAAGATAGATCTTGGCAGAACTCAACAATCATCTTGCTGTTGGTGTGGCCGTCTTGCAGCTGTTTTTAGCTTGAGACTAGCCATTACCTCAGCTACACTGTCACTGGTTGTTAGGCAGATACTTACATTGAAATGAATGAGTGTCTCTGAGTTTTGAGCATTGTGTCTTTTCAAGTTCTGATGTGGGTTCAGTCTGAAGCTCTGACCATCAGAATGGATGCTCAGAAGCTGGACACCAAGGGAGGCAGAAATTTGACTTCAACTCTAGTACTTTGCAAAAGGCTACTTTCACTTTGAATTGGAGCATTTTACTCCTTTAAACATTTATTGTTTTGGTTCAGAGGAATTCCTCTTACACGGCATAGTCTTCAAGCAAGTTTCTCCTTGTGTTCTTTTACTACAGTACCACTTCTCTTACCCGTTTTCTCCTTTCTATTCATCTCACGTTGTCATTTAGCTTCCTTTTTATTATAAACAAAAGAGAAATCTGAGATGAGTATTTTAATTAAATATCCTGTTGTAACTTAGGAATAAAATTTGATTATTTTGTTTGTTTTGGTAGTCAGGAGAAATTCAACATGCTTTCATAAAAGGGTGTAGGAAGGTCATAGCCAAACATGAGGTAAATATCACCACCCACATCAATCATTTACTAATTTTAATTCGGTCTTTATTTTCTTAATGACATAAGCCAAAAAAAATGGTATGAAGACGTTTAGAAAAAATTTTTGTTAACTTTTTTTATACATGGTCTCATTCTGGAGCCAAGTCATTATAAACTCATAGCAATCCTCCTGCCTCTGCCTGCCAGGTATTGAGATTGTAGGCATGTACCCCTCAGGTAATTAATTTGTGAAAAGGTATTTGGTGCTTTGTCATAATCTATATCAAATACTTGAGAATTGGTCAGAGTGCCTGGTTGACTGTGATTCACTGACACGCTGCAGAGTTCTGGCCCCTGACTCAGTCTGGCGATGCTCTCTGACCTGCCTTACTCTAGCAGTGGCACTCTAGGGTGCCTGGTAGTTACTCTTGTATAAATGATGGCTTTATAATCTTAGGCAAGGTAAAACTGTTATTTAAACCATCAATTAGAATTAAGTCAGCACTGTCCATTCTTCATTTCACAGTGTACTTTGATGTAATTTCACTAAAATAACACTGAACAGTAACATACAAATAATGAAACTGCCACCTTTAGCTTCAAATTAAAGATGGTAATACAATAAAATCTCCATATGTGAAGCTTCCTTTCCTGATTTTTCAGTGTGTACACCTAAAAGCAATCAAACGTTAACTCATGGAACCATGAAAGTTAGAAAATTCTCACCATGTCTTAAATGGTTCTTACATTGGCGTCCACGGTGACTCCTTTAGGACAGTTGCCAGCAACTGACGTATGTCATTATAGTTAATTTAACCACATTCTTTCTGAATATAGCTGTACTTGTTTTCTCACATTCTCTTGTCCACACTGGCTGTCTTAAAAGCATGTAAATAATCTGTGTGAACAGAAAGGACATGAATAGCAGGTGTTTATCTTTGAAGGACTGAAATATTAGTTAAATTATGTTGTTTCCTGTGCATTTCTGCTCATCACGGTCTTGCTTTAGGTTGCTCATTCCTAGAAAGTATGGTTAGTTCTCTCTTTTTATGCCCACAAGTGACACATAATTTATATAGTCACTGTATATTTGAGAAGTCCTTTTATTCCTGAAAAGAGATAAGGATATATTATCTGTGTTATATGTTGTCATTTTCTGCTGATGCCAAAATATAATTTAAAAACATCACATTTAAAATTTCCTGAGGCTGGAGAGGACGCCCTGTGGTTCAGAGCACTTCCTGTTCTTGTAGAGGACCTGGGTTCAGTTCCCAGCACCTTCATTGACATCCAGTTCCAGATGATCCAGCATTGTCTTCTGGCCTCCATGGCACCTGCACCCATGAGGCACACACATGAAAAACAATAAATCTTAAAAATGAGTAAGGGGCAGAGAGTTGGATCAGCAGTTAAGAACACTGGTCCTAGATTGAATTCTCAGCACCTACATGGTGACTCACCAATTGTCTGCACCTCCAAGTCCAGGGAACTCCACACTTCTGGACTCCATGGGTACACCCATGGTGCACAAACATATACGCAGGCAAAATAGTCAGACACATAAATTAAATTTCCAAAACTTAAATGTGTAAAGTATAATCTCTCTGCTAAGATCCTCAGAACAGTTGAGAGTTCCTGTCTCTCCTTTCCCAGTTAGAAGTATGCACAGTGAGGGAGAAGCCACCCACTGTGTCTCCCACCTCACTCTAAAAGAGAGGGTTGAAATGGCATCTGCTGAGTTTAGCTACAGATGGCAAAAGATGGCTCTTCTTTTTCACACTTCTTTTCCCCCTCATTCTATATCTTTGGTTACTTTTAACAATCGATTTGTCATTTTATTCTACTTAATAATTTTCTACAATTGTTGGCTTCTTTATGCCCAATATAACTTTTCATATTATACTAATTCTGTACTTTTCAATAGAAATGTTGTATCTCTAAGATTAATTATACTTTTAAATGTTTTGAGTTGATATACATATATGTAAAGGGGTATTTCATTTGTTCTCGTATATTTATTGCATCTACAAAAGACATTGAGAAAGGAAAGATCAAATTTATATATAAATTCACCAGCCAGTGAAGTCTTTGGGGGATAACCTTGTTGTCTTCATTTTTCTCCATTATTTTTGGGAAATTCTATACATACTGTGTTGCTTTTAATAATTGATGATCCCTTGAATAGTTGGAAAGGAATGCAAATCCTATGAACATACAGTGTTTTAAAGTATATTTTATAATGTATGCAGTACTGCTTCCCATTGCTTCCTGCAGCGGTCAGGTTATTTGACCTTTTAATCACTTGGTGTGGCAGATGTTTACTGAGCTTGTATTTATCACACACATTGATTTTTAGAAATTATCCCACTGTATGGAATGTCGAGCTACATCACCCGAGAAGACCAGTATAGCAAGCCACCACACAAAAAACTGAAGGACCGCCAGATTGACCGCCAGAACCGCCTAAACAGCCCACCTTCCACCATCTACAAGAGCAACTGTGCAACAGTGTACAATGGCTACGGGAAAGGCCACAGTGGCGGAAGCAGTGGAGGAGTTGGAGGTGGAAGTGGAGGTGGCCCTGGGAGCAAAAAGTCAGAGCGAAGAGCAAGAAGCAGCCCGAAGTCCAGTGATTCAGACTTGCAAGGTAAATGCTATAGATGTGGGCATTTTGATGGCACCATCTTTTACAGGGTTGGGTCAGCCTTATCCCTTTGTTAGAAAGGAAAGACTACGGTAGCATTTTATGTAAATTTTTCATCACATTTCGTCTCAGAAACAGTATTGGAAATTGTTTTCACATTGGCCTGCTTCTGCTGTTTTCATGCTACATTGAGAGATATGGAAGCTAGCAAATTGAATGTTTTTCTGGCAAGCATGGGCTAATTCTAATCTGAAGTAATTACACCTCATGAAAACAGCTGTAGTTATTTGATGTTGTAGTTAAGTTGGTAGTGCATGGCCAGAACTGAAGTTTAGCTTCAGGCAAGGGTGGGCCTGAATGTCCTTTGGCATCTTCAAGCTGCTCACAGATGGAAATGGGTAGAGAGTCAGGCTCACTGTGAGCAGAGGCAGCAGCTCAGAAGGCCATGTAGTGTACACTTTGTAGGTTAATCTTGTGGGGATAGATCGGTGGGGCTGAGGGGGCAGGCTTATCTTTAATTACATGTTCATAAAACAGTAACTGACTGTGAGGATATTTGTGATTGGAAAATGGATATTTGCATGTCTGTGGAAGATTGGCATCTGACAGGCTTGTAGATGGAATTTCCTTGTAGTCTATTCACAATTCATAAGTTACAGTATAACCAAAGGGCAGTGGTGACACAGTGACCTGTGAGGGCAGTGTGGTTTCTTCTGATGTTGTCCTTTATTGTCTTTTGTGTTGTCCCTATTTCCTGCAGTCATTGCGCTTGGACAATTATTCAACAAAACACAAACAGATAGTGTGTGAAAAGGACTCAGAGTTGAGTCTTTGAAGCAACTCCTAAGTAAAGGTGCTGTGTCTGCTGTAGGAAATAAATATTTTTCTCTCTGAGGTATGAGGCTCAAAATGTACTTAAATCTTCTAAGGCACAAGCTGTCTTCCTACCTCATCCACCCATTTTTGTGGAGTTTAGACTCACATCACTGTGTTAAAATCACTGAAGTCTAAACACAGGACAGCTGTTTGGAATTGGTTTTCCTATTTTAAAATATTTTATGTCCTGATTGGCACATTATTTGATCATGCTTGTGAAATAATGTCATATTAAATATAAGATGGATTATTTATTAACAATATTTGAATTTAACCATAGAAGAGAATTCTTATTCTCTCTATCTCTGTCTATCTCTCTCT